TCCAGAACTGCTTTGAGCTCTACAACCCCAGTCACAAAGGTCAAGTAATCAAAGCGTGTAAAACTGAAGCTGACGGCCGAGTGGTGGAAGGAAACCATGTAGTGTACAGAATATCTGCTCCCACCCCAGAAGAAAAGGAAGAGTGGATTAAATCTATCAAGTGAGTTTGAAGTCTTAAATGTATTTCAGAAATGAAGTGTAAGCTCTTTTCAGAGTATGATACAGAGAGAATTTGTTGTAACTTGTCGCAAGAACTCTGATGTGGCAATGTCCTCGAGGACTAACAGTGAGCTCTGTGGGGTTGATGGACCAAGATACAAATCTATACTGTGTGGTCCTAAGAAAATACTGTTGCTAACTCAAGTGAGGAGAATATGGATTTATTCTTCTATGCAAATGTAAAATCTTGTGTGAATTGTTTTTAAACCTAATTCTATTGGATTCTTACTTCACCCAATAATTAACTTTAGTGACATGTATCTTAAGCATGTTCACAAGCAGCTTTAAACTTCCACAGCTTGACTTTATGTTTGAAGGTTTCTAAGCAGACCCACACTATTTCTTTATTAAAGAAATAAATAATAGTCAAGATGTGAAGGTGTGAGCTCTGAACTAATCACAGTGGAATAGAATCTTGTGCTAAAGAAATATTTGTGGTGCTTAGAAGTCAGCCATCCATCTCAAGGGTGTGGAGTCATCCACAAGGAAGAGAGAACAAAAGTTTTAGTTTTCAAAACTATTGAAATAGTTAACAGGTATTTGTTAACCAAACTGGTGATTCCTTTTTTCTCTTCCAGAGCAAGTATCAGCAGGGATCCCTTTTATGATATGCTGGCCACAAGGAAAAGAAGAATTGCAAATAAGAAATAGAACATGAACAGCAACTTGTAGACCTGCATCAACCTATAACTGAGCATACTGTGGACTGATAGAAGAAATTGGACAAACTAAATGAAGACAACTGTAAATTTTATATATATATACACACACACACACACACACACATATATATATATATATATATATATACACACATTTTACTATGGCATAAAACCTTGGCAGAACTTTTCAGGGGAAATAGTTACTGGTATATAATTTGAAGTAAGCTTCAAATCCCAGAGAATTATTATATTGCAACTGAATTCAGCTGAACACATGGAAGCCTTGTTTTCACTTAACATTAGTGACAACTCCAGTTTACTTGGGTTGGGAGGGAAGGAGTTCAGGGCTAACACTAAAATGTCCTCTACCTGTTACCTGAGCACATTTCCCATAGAAGAAGGAGTTGTTATAAGACTTTGAGTTCTCACTGAAGTGCAGCACCAGCAGTGGAGCACAGCATGATCTGGCACTGCATTTTCCTGTAAGCAGAAACCTCACAATCCCAGTGGCAGTTTTCAGCCGTGTGTGTTTCACAGTAACAGCTGAGTGCAGCTTCATCCAAGATTCCTCTCCTACCTTTATGGAAATGGCTTTCCTTCAGAAACACAGTGACTGGCAGCTCAGTAGGTACCTGGTGGTGCCAGAGGATTTGTCAGTGTGCACTGAAGTACAGGCAGGGCCCAGCAGCAGAGGTTTGAGGCTGTGGCCATGACATGAAGTACCAGATGGGGTCTGGTGTTTGCCAGTTGGCTAAAGCTCGTTCCTGTCTGCTCACACACTCACAACAAACACTAAGGTTTAATGACTGGTTTAATCTGCTTTTTATATGGTAACATCCTTCTTCTGTTTGAGATGCTGTAGTTTGATTAACACTAAGTTGCTACTAAAGGAGAGAGATGACAGGGCTTGTGTGATTTCAGGCCTTGCATGTGAAAACACCCCCAGATAATTCCACATGCATTCAATGTTTTTAAAGGGAAAAGCCAGGAAGGTGAACTGTCCCTGTAAGATGCAGCCCTAGGGAGTTAAGCAAGCAGGATTCATTCCTTTGCTTGATAACAAACTTTGGACATACAGAGTTCATGCAAGTTTATACAAGTTCAGTATTTTTATTGCATTCTTAAAGGCGATTTTCAGATTTGTGCTACAGCAGTTGAAATTGAAAACACAGACATTTTTACTAAAAAATAAAGTATTGATTACATAGTGCAGTTAGACTTCCCCACAGGCATGTCTCTTTTTGAATCCTGTGAAGATCTTTCTGTGGTCCTACTGCTGGGTCTTTCAGGAACACAACAGCTGCTGCAGCAGATTTTACTCCAGTGCTTTTCTATTGATAGCACACGTTCTTAAGGTAAAGCCCCTAATTCCACAATGGGGGCAAAAAGTGGGAGGTTTTGACTCTACTGCTTCTGTTACTACTCAGTTTTTCCCAAACTTGTTGAACCTGAGCCATGCCTACTGTGCCAGTGAATGTGCTGGAGACCCAAAATGTTACAGCAGCTTTGCTTGTTGGTTACAGGAGCACCTTTGGGTCTGTTGTAGGGACATGTGCTGCACTGGCAAACCCACAGACTTACCAAGCTGATCTGTCTGAAATCTCCTTTGAACTGTAAGGGAGAATTGTTTCAGTGTTCTGTCTTACTGATTTGCCTTGTTTTGCATGGAGTGTCGGCCTTGTGAGTGTTTTGCTTTATTGCATGTTTGCAAAAGAGGCTGAGAGGAAAAGAACAAAGTAAACTTTCCTACATTTTAGATTTTCCCCAGGGTGTGTGGAATTGCTTGGGTGAATGTTTAAATCTTAGTGCTTCCAAAGGAGTAAAGCTCAGCCAGAGGAGGTAAAATCCTTGAGTAAGTGTCAGTGTGGGGATATCTTTTCTTAATGGAACACATTTAAACTCTTTATAGAAATTAATTAAGTTGTGTGTCCTGTGTTTGCAAAGCAGCACAATGATGGAGCTGCTGCCAGCACTTGTTCTGAGTCTTCTGTTCTGCAGTGACATTTTGTTTTCAAGCACTGCCTACATCAAGTCTTAGCTTTGGATAAGTAGATTTGTAATGCAAATAGTGACAAGCCAAATCAGTGGTACTAGTGAGCATGAAGGTGAAAGGCAGCAAATACAGTATTTCTGGAGAAATGTGAGATTACAAAAGCATTAATAAGCCATGAAGCACTTTTGTATCCATTTTTATTTTCTGAAATACCACCTTTGAGGAAATCTATTTATTTAACCAGGTGAGGATGTCTGCCTACAAGCATGAAGGAAAGGCCTTGACAGTTCATTTGCTGTATTTAGTTTGAAGTTCTTATATCCGGCAGAAATAACTATTTAGAGTAAAATGTAACTGAGGATATTATAGCAGGAAATATTTTATTTCTTAGCATTGAAAAGCAACATCTTAAACAGCTACTTGTGGTGCTCAGTGTATCTATTTAATTTACCAAAGCGAATGGAATAGCGTTTTTTTGTGTGTTAATATTTGATTTCAAATGTTCTTTGTAACAGTATTAACAGGGAGTGAAACTGGCCCAAAATTTCCACTGGCCACGGGGCCAGTAAAACAAAGTGGCTTTGTGAGAATTTTGGCCGTATCAGGTACTATCCACGAGAGTGAAGAAAAATCTCTCAACCTTTCCCTTTTTTATTGGGCTTCAAGTCCAGGGGTGGCTACTGAAAGTGGCTGCTTGGTGGCCTAAAGCAGGATCTGTTACAGTTTGGCCATGCTGAGGAAAAGTCCTCTGGGGACAACAGATTCTCCCTTCCTGTGGCACTGAACGTGAGGAATTCTTGAGCTCTTTGCTTTGACCCTGCCCTCTGCAGCTGCAGGGCAGTGAGAGCCATGGTGCCAGTGCAGCTGGGAGGGAACTGTACACAAAACTTAAGCTCAGCTGGACTGACTTAAATTTTACAATATTCTGACAAAATAAGCTCTGCATCACTTAGCATTTTGAACCATTTTAAACTGGTACAAAACTGAACCTTTATAAAGTGAGCAGCATTTATAATGCTTCATATATAAAAAAAACTGCATATTTTTAAGATTTATTACATATCTATGTAGATATGCTTGCTGGAAAAGCTAGGTCTGTTGTAGACCAGATACTACAAATTAAGACTTGTGGCTTACCAGTTTCATTTCTATATTTTCTTGGAAAATGTTTCTAGCTAGAGTTTAAATATAAAATGTAAATAATGTACAGGTATGTATTGATATGAGTATTACTTCGTGTATACAAGTGATTTGCATGACAAATATTCTGTATCAATCATTGTTATAACGGTGATGTTCTTATGTAAAGCCACTGCAATATTAATGTTTTCATTTATCATTAAGACCTGTTGCTTAAATCTGTCAATTTTCTCAAAAATAAAGTGTGAAACTGTACTGTCTCCTCATTTACCAGGAATACTGGGGAGGCAATAGCTGACTCCTAAGAGGTTAAGGTTTAATTTTACAACTGCTCTTGTAAGTAAAAGGCTTCTCTTCCCTACCCTTAGGCACAGTAATTGAAATTACCAGGTTTAATTTTTTCAGAAAAAACCCTTCAACTGCAAAATGTTTCAGTAAAGTGTGCTGCCACATGCGTGTGACTCCAGTAAAAGCTGGGTTCCCTTGAGAGCCACCCTAAATTGAGGTATTTTATTTTGTCAGTTCCCTGCCAGGAGTTTGTCAGACGTGAGGGGGGAAGCGGATCTCTGCTCCTGGAGTAGATTAATGAGTTTCCTCAATTAGCAATTAGAAACAGGTGCTGCTGCTCCGCAGCTCTGGGGCAGTGGCACCGAGTGCCCTCCCTGCTCCAGAGCCACTCGGGAGCACAGCAGCCACAAACTCCTGCCAGACAGCTGTGCTGGAGTTACTCAGCAAAGGACAAGAACCAGATCTTGGAGCCAGAGGACAAAAGAGGAAAAAAGAGCCAGATACAGGACAGGAACGTTGGTTACTTTGCCATGTCACTTTATGTCAGTCACATAACTGTTGCCATAGGAACATTATGCAGGTACATTGTGCTTTGGCTTTATGGTGTTCTCCATGTACCAAAAGGTTACTTTTAAGTATTTAGTGAGACATTAACCTTGCTCTTTTTTGCCTTTTTTTTTCCCCTGTTGGTTTTGTGTTTTTTTTTTTTTTTCATACACAATACCAAGCTCCTGCTGAGCTCCCAGCCTGGTGCCTGGCTGTGGAAGCTTTAAGTTCAAAGGAGAAGCCTTCAGCATTTCAGCATCCTTGTCTAGGCAGCTGCAGTCCCAGGTTACTGATCTTCTCTGGCTCACACCAACAGCATCTTCTCCCCTGCACTGAGAGGAAGATGTGACTTCTGGAGTGTCAAACAGCCCCTGACAGCTGTCAGCTCCCATGACACAGTGCATGTTAAATAACTCAAGTAGAACTCAAGTAAAAATCCATTTTAACTTTGCTGTATTTATATACTATATAAATTTTACATGCTATATATTTACAGTGGGGCAAGTGCTTTTTATCTTTAAAAAAACAAAGATCAAACTTTAGACATCTCTGAACAACACAGCTTGTATAAACCAGACAGATTATTCAGATGAACTGTATTTAATACAGGTTCCCCACTCATCTCCTGATGCAGGACCAGTGAATAATAAGTGCATCACAGTTTGATAGCATTTAATAATAAAAATAAAAATCACAGTATGAATTTGTCTGTAACTAGACACTTTAGAGAGACAAAACAGACAACTGAGACTTAAGACAAATGACAGTATATTAAGAAAATGTAATAAAAACATATGGAACAATATACAAATAGTCTTGAGAGATACATTCAGAACTGCATATTTGTTGTTTCACAATGTCGAAAACCAGAAGATTTTCTTCAGATCTTGAATATAACTCAAATGTGAAGTAAATTAGTTTCTAGTGTCAGACCACAGGAAAAAAAAAAATGAAGCTCTTGCAAAACTTGTGAAGTTTTAAATAAGTCTTTAAATTAAATATACAGACTGTCAGTTGCAACTTTTATAATTCCTGGTCGCTCTTGCACCAGATGTCTTAACTTGGAGTAACATTACATGAATAACATAAAGTCAACCTGAGTCTGTAATTAAGCAGCATTTGAGATGGTCTATTCCAGGGCATTATCTCAGCTCAGTGAGATATTTATGTGGTAATTTACAATGTTCAGCAGTTGTAAAAAGTTTTCACCCTTTTGGATTAGAAGTATATTTTAAAAAAGAAAGTCTCAAGTTAAAAACTAAAAAAAAGTTCTTATATGGTAAAATTCTGTACAGAAATGTTAAGCACCACTTATGACTGGATTTTGTCTTGATGGTAATTGATAATAAATCTTAAGTTTTGATGGTCACTATTGGTAATGTCAGGTTGGAAGGTAAGAAGTCGTTGAAGGTAAGAAGTCGTTGGTTTTGATGATGAGAAGTTGTTGGTTTTGAAGGTGAAGGGTTGTTGGGGTTGGTGGTCAGAAGTCCTTGGGGTTGGTGGTGGGTTCAGTCTGAGTATTGAAGGCTTTCATCAGTCAGCTCCACATCTGAAAGGCAGAAGGAAACAAGGTCAGTCCTGCTGTGACATTTAACATTAAACTGTCTCAGGGGCTTGATTTCTAAAAGACAAAGCTCAAAGCTGTCCCAGCTCCATCTGTCCCTCAGCACAGGGTCCAACTGCACCCCAGTTCTAGGCTAAGGCTGCAGAACTGCACAGAGCCTTAGGACAGAGCCACCTGCTTTAACAGCAAGCGCTGGCCCTTGGCTGAATCACATGTAATTGAAGTTTTGCCTAGAAAGCGTCGTTGTTTTAGTAACAATCTTGTGGTCAGGCTGACCAAATTGTAGCCACAAAGGCAGAGCCTTCAGAAACTTGCTGGAGAGCACATGCAGGAGTGTAGGAAAGAAAGAACTGCTTCAAAGCTGCTCCTTGCCCCCTCCTCTATAAACTTTCCTTAAACAACAACTTATCACTAGCTGTTTTCATCCTTATTAATTTATTCAAAATAACAGGAGTTGGGTGAAAAGGCACAACTTCACAATTCCTCGGTGATTCCTCTCCTGTCCCTGCCTTGAGGCATTCAGAACTCTAAAAACACAGCCAAAGTGGCCTCTCTTGAAAGCAGTTTTCGTCCAACAGAGAATCCTACTTGAGACCCATTTAAAAAAAGAAAAAAAAGACTGACATTCCAGAAGATGGAGCTAATTAACATCCATGGACTTGAGGAAATATTAAATTTTTTTTTTTTTTTTTTTTTTTGCCAGCCCTGGTCTCTCCCTCGTGTTGTTCAGCAGTGAACAAACAGCTCCTTCTCCTTCCCTGCCCTGCCCTGAGCAAGGCCAGGCAGAGCATTGAACTCCTCGCTAAACCTGCTTCGGAAAAAGCCGAGTTTGCCACCTGCTGGCCACAGAATCACCGAGGCCAAACCACTGAGCACGAGCATTTTATTCTGTTTAGTTCCTGATTTCCCAGCTAGAACAGACCCTTTTAGTGCTATAAGGGTTATTTTGGATATGAGTATCATAAAAAAAAAGTCTCCTTTTACAACATTAGGATTTGAAATACCTCAATTCACTTCTTATTTTTTTCTCATTAAAGAATAATGGGTGAACAACCAGCTTTCCCTCCACTCTGTATTTTTAGAATACAACTTCTGGTTATCTGTGTCTTAAAATACAATCAGTTTTCCACAAATGCACTTCCCCCTTGCCTTGAGCAAACTTTTGAGTGTAAGAATTCAGTGCACTGACTGTAGCAATTTGCACAAGTTTGGAAACCCCATGAAAAAGATTTTAATTTTCCAGAATTCCAAGATTAAATGTCTCCAATTTTTTGTGTGCTATATTGACAGTTTCAACAAGACTAGAAATGAACAGAACTGTCAGTGACCATTAACCCAATTAAACTTTGGGTAGGTATAAAATGTAGACAATTGTACAACTAAAATTGCTTTTGGATTGTGAGTTATCTTCTTCAGGGATTACTTCACTTCCCTTTGAGTAAAACAGTTAGGGGACTGTTTTGATTTTCCATTGAAATAGATCAGTAACTGGAACTGGTTTATGGCAAATAACAGGCATTTAATAAGATTTTATTTCTACAATAAACGCTTCTGTTCAGCAAAAATTTCATGGGAAATGTTGTCAAGTTTGATTTTAGATGTTGAATTTGTTGCAGTGTGCAATCATCTTCATTGCATAATTTTAGAGCTAATTAATTTGAACTAATTAATTTATCTACTGCCAGCCCAAGTTGAGATTATGACAAGCAACAGCTGAGAGCTCAGTGTAAATTTAGTCAGGCACACAAATTCATAATTTGGGTTTTTTGCAAGAAGCACAAGACAGACTTTTTCAAATATTAAAAATTGGGAAAGAGCTGTTTCCTCAGCCCATATCTATGTATTGTTAAGCCTATACTAACAGAAAAACCTAACAACTGAATAAAACAATAGCAGGAATTTAACACTCCAGGTGTTAAATTGTGAAGTGTCCTCTGGAGGTTTGACAGCTGTGCTTAGAAGGCAGAGCTACATCTAGATCAAGAATATTTCAGTATTATCACCAACTCCTGTTATTCTGAGTGAGCAACCTGCACTGTTTCTATGCTATGAACAACTGAATGTAGTATTTTATTTAAATTATAGAATGGTTTGGGTTGGAAGGGATCTTAATGATCATCTGTTTCCAACCCCCTGCCACGGTACCATTTGGAAGCTGTGATTAAACCCAGGGATTTAATCTCCCAAGCATTTAAAGATGGTTATGAACAGCCATTAGTCCTGCCAACATCCCAGGGCCTTACCTCTGACATACTCAGTGGATGCCATGGAGCTGTATTTCTTGCTGTCACCTGCACCAGAAGGCTTCTCTTCCTTGGAGGGTTGTTTACTGCCCTGGGTTCTGTATTGCTCACATAAATGGTCATCTGGAGGACGGGATTCTTCCTTCTTCTCCCATGTTTTCTTCTGGAAACGAGGATCTAAATATTCCAATAAGTCTTTCAGTTTCCTGTCGTGCTTCTTCTTTTTCTTCTTTTTCTTATGTTTGCGATTGTCATTGTCAAAGTGGAGCACAGAGCAATCCAAATCATAAAGTCTGAAGGAAACATGCAAGTTAAAAATAGAAAAACAGATGTGGCACTTGATGTATATATGAAACGTTATTTATTTACCACAGGTGACGACTTGCAGAGTGTCTGCTACTTTGTGGTACTTTCTGCATATCTAAGTTAATTTAGATGCAGCAATCTTAAGCCCTCAGAATGAAGGACAAGAGGTCGTGGTTTGTACACAAATTGTTAACAGGCATATGGGGAATTAAAAAAAAAAAATTAAAATTGTAACCTAATCAAGAACGGTGTGCAGATGTTATTCTGTCTACATTGTCCAGCTCTAGTGTTCTAACACAATTCAGCAACATCTTTCCTATCTTCTCTTGGCCAACCTAATAACATGATCCCGTCACATTATGACAGATAAGTTACTTAGAAACAATGAAAAAAAGGCAGACATGAGAAACACCCAGAAAATAATTAGGAAAAAATTGCTGATTATGCTGGAATCCTTGCTTACTTGTAATCCTTCTCTCGATGTTTATCTTTGGACTTCTTTTTCTTCTTGACCTTCTTATACTTTTTGATTCTTTGGTCATCTGTCTTTCTGCATTTCTTTTCTATGTCACTTCCACTTTCTTCTTGGTGGGAGTATTTTCTTTTGCCATTTCTTAGTTTTTCTTTTTCGCTTTCCCGGGAAGAGTCCTCAAAGTTTGAGTGAGCTGACACGGGTGGAAGTGCGTGCCTCTCACGGGAATATTTTTCCGAGTGCTGCTGAGGTACTGAACAGTGGTGGAAGTTTGCTCTGTGGCTGCTGAAGTGATGCACGTCCTCCTCTCGGGAGAGTGTGCTGTGAGCCCATCTGCTTTTGCAGTGATAATCCTTGTGTGACCTGCTGTAAGCTTGGCTCAATTTGTCATAGTCTTTATCACAATGAGAGGACCTCCTCTCCCTGCCATCCCTTGTTCCATGGGAGGAATAATAATCATTGTAGTACCTGCATTTATCCCATCTCCGTGGTTCATCTTGATAGTATCTTTCTCTAATCCAAGGTCTGTCTCCTTTGGAATAATAATACCTATTCCTGTCTGGATCTGTCCTTTCTCTGCTTCGGGATCTGTAACGAGAGTATTTTCCTGAGCTCCTGCCATTACTGGGACTGTTTCTTTCGTTGTGGGAGGATCTGTACTTGCTCTCACTGCAATACTCCTGCTTGTGACGGCTTTGCTTGTTTGTTTCCATGCTGTGAGAGCTCCTCCTCCTGTGGGAATGATCATCTGGTTTGTTTCTGGTTTGCCTCTCCTTCTCCTCCGTGTCCGAGTTTTCTCTCTTCCTCCGGTAGTGCTCTTTGTCAGTTCTTTTAGAGTCATGGATTTTTTTCTTATTTTTTTTCATATGTTTATCATCATCTTCACATATTTTATTACTCAGTCCCTCGTCTGCTCTAGAAAATTGACTTTCCAATACTTTATCCAGCTTTGTAATAGAAGAGTCATTAACGGGTGGTACCTCTACATAGTTATTAGAAATGTCCTTTGTATCTTGGCATTTGTCTGTAATATCTAGAGATGCAAGTTTTTTAGAACTACATTCAATGTCAGGCTTTATAGAGGAAATTTGCCCTAATTTCTCTTTGCTCTCAGGAGATCCTTTGATGTACAAAGGATTTTCTTTTGAAATGAGTTCAGGTTCTTTTGATCTTCTTAGTTTTTCTTTATCTCTGATGTCTTCAGACTCACACTGCCCAAGGAATTCACCTTCACTATCCAAGGATTTTTTCCTAACCTTGTGCTGACCATTGATATTGAGATGTGCATTATCAGCTTTTGTTATAATACTTTCAGCAACTTCTTCTTTGGTAAAAATGGTTTCAGAATCTGATTGAGTAAAAAGTTTCTCAACCTCACAGCTAAAGTTGGAAGGAACCTTCCTGGATTCTTCATAGGCAAACAGTGCTTCCATCACTACAGGATCCGTAACTCCATCATTGTCAGAAGATTTCTGAGGTCCAGAGACACTGCACAAAAATAAAAATGTATTTTTAACTTGAAAACATCCATCTAAAAGATGTTAGGAGTAAAATCTAAAAAAAAAAAAGTCGCCAATGCAAAACTCTGAAAGACTTTGACTTTGGAAAACCATTCTTACACCTCCCTCAGCTCCCATGGAAAGTTTTTCTTCTCTCAGTTTTGCAGGTTTTGCCTTAAAAATCCCATCCCAAACACATCCAACTTCTTCCACTTGCAGCTCTCAATCTCATCAATAGCCAGAACAACTGTATTTGCTCTTCCCCCAGCTAGAAAAAAGGGAAACACACAAATTTCCCACTGTCCCAAGTGGGAGGGCAGACTGTGGGAATTTACATTCACTTATCCTAGGCTGCAAAAAAGGGGAAGAGGAATAGAAAAAGTATTCCAGACAATGGAAGAAAAATGTAAAAACATCCTGTGAATGTTTTACAGGAGGCATCTGCCTGTATTTAGTATCAGAATAATGTGTGCCCAGTGCTGATGTGTGCAATACCAGATGTACAGTCTGGAATTCTCTGTACTCATGTAAATTTCTTAAGTATTACTTAAGATGGATAAAATAGTAATAAACTTGTATGAAATCTTGTTTTAATCAGTGTAGCCATTTTACCTCTTTTCCTCCGACAAGCTGTTCAACTGGCTGTATGTAAGAGATTCTAAGATACCTTGAGGATCTGGTGACAAAGCTTTAGGCATCTGCAATTAAAACACAGAAGTTAATAAAGAGGAAAAAAAAAAGCTATTTTTAGCAGAAAACTACTGCTGACAAACTTCCAACATTAGATGTTACACAAGATCACAGAGATACCTGCACTCTTCCCACGTCATCCTCCCCTCCTCCCAAAAATGTATTTTATGAAACTTATGAAGTATTATCTCCCTGAACTTCTCTTATGTTGACATATGTCATATGTTAGCTCAGCTCTGCAAATTCAGCGGGATAACAGCACAAAGGGTTAGAATGAAATCTGTGCTGAGTTTTCTTGGTATTCCATTGTGGTGCTCATGAATATTGAATATATCATAGGTGAGAAAGTGCAGATGAACAAATGTAACTCACCGCTTCAAGCACTCCATTTGCTTTAGAGAAGAAAATCTCAGAAGGTTTAACGGGTTGGACTTGGCAAGTGGAATCATCAAGTTTCAGTCCATTTTCTTTATATTCATTATCTAAACTAATAGCACCATTTAGGGAATCAATTTTTGGCAGCTCATGCTGGGATCTTTCTTCAGCATTCTGACAGGATGAATGGGAATTATGCAATGTACGGACCACCTTCCCAAGCAGAATTCCATTGGAAGAAATGACGTTGCAATGCCTTTTGAACAAGCCCTTTGACTCCTCGGATTTTCCTGAAGGCTCTGCACCGTAAGGGACCATGTTATCAGCACAGAGCTTAGGGTTTCCATTCACTGCTGGCTCAACGAAGATCTCATCAGGAACCTCCTGCTTGGAGGCATTAGTAGCAACTGACACTGTGGAGAGGTTTGAGGTAGGCTCTGCTGCAGAAGGGTTTGTAATTGTGGCTGAAGGAAGGGGCTTCAGACCCTCCTCCTCCACAGCGCTGCTCGGACACTCCGCCTGCGGCACCGCCTGCCGTGGGGGCAGCTTGTTGTGAATACTGATCGTGATCTTCTGGGTTTTGGAAGGGTCTGCCATTGAAGGCCTGGAAATTGCCCAGTTTTGAACACAAGCTGTTGGTGGAGCTGAAGATGGCCTTTTTACAGCAACACCAACAGTACTGGGATCCTCTTTTAAGGGTCCATTTCCATTTAAACGACTTGAACTCTGGATTTGAAGAGATTGTAAGATGGACACGTTCAAACACACAGCACAAGAAGTTTCACAACATTAGCTTCTCATACTAAATAGTCCTACACATTGCCTCAATATCCAAGAAGAAACCTCACCTCCCTCCCAAAATACATGCACGTCCAACAGGTGTGTGTAAATCCTGCCTTTGGTATCAAATGGCCATCAGTTTGACACCCACCCAAACAACTTAACATTGACTAAAGCTACTAAAAAATTTTATTTTCCTTTTTAAACACTCTCCAACAACACTGGAATAATTCTCCTAGTACTCAGGAACAAGACAGTTTGTATTCTATCACTGTCTCAACTAAAGTGACACTGATAGGGACGGGGCAGATATTTACTTTTTAAATCTACATTACTTAGGCATTAGTAGACTACTTAAATTGTCTCAAGAGCACAGCTCTCAAGCTTTAGAGAAGTGAGCTGGAAGGGTAAAGTAATGAAGTGGCACGGCTGCACAATTAAGGATTAGCCACTGTTTGAGTAACTGGCTCTAGCATGAGGGCTGTGAAGAAACCCGCAGCGTGGAAGGGAAACTAAAACTCAAAAAACCTCACACTACACCAAAACCCACTATAATTCCGTGCCACCACCTGCCCCCTCCAATTACCTTGATCATGTGAGGAGGAAGCCGTGGTCCCATGAACGCAGCCTGCTTGCTGCTGGCGCCGCGCTGGCCCAGGAAGGAGCGCGGGTAGGAGGGCGCGGGCAGGTAGAAGGCGCGCTCCCCCAGCGTCAGATCGTAGCGCCTGCGGGCACAAGGGGAACAGCTCACAGCTCTTCCTTCAGCCTACTCCTGGATTAAACCCATCCCATAATCTCAGCAACAGGGAATATGACATGAAGATACATCTTGAAGACTAAGGCAGGACTACAAACTGAAGATTAGGTAATGGTTTTCCTACAATGACTGTCCTTTCCAGAGCGATGATTCAGCCACACACCATCTATGGCCGTGATTTCTCCTCTTTTCTAAACTGGCCAGCTACAGCCAGCAGATAGAAAGCATTGTACCCAAGTGTAGAAGTGTAAGGTCAAGCAATGAAAGGTAATAAATGATGTGGGGAATTTCCACTTAGGCAGAAATATACAAAGAGTAATACTTTTCTAGAGTGAAAAGAAAAAGACTTGAAAACAAGAAAAGTATCAGCAACTTGACAGTAAAAATGTTCTGAGCACATCCGGTGTTATTACCTGATATAAAAAAGTACATAAGCTTGCTGATTGAGAACTGTCTTGATATCAGAAAGCTCTACTGAGGCATCATTCATTCGGTACCAAAGTCCATTACCAGCCTGCAAACAAAGACAGAATATCTTCAGATGAATTGCATGTGTTCCAAAGGACATCACAGATAGAGCACTGCAGAACAAAGCATACCAAAACAAAGCAAACAAAGCACATGATGCAATGTTTTCCCCTAAAACCAGTGGTTACCAGCTACATTTTAATTTCTATGGCAGCAAAAATTCTGTCCTGTTAGAAGCTGAGCTGATCTCTACCTTGATGAAGCAGAGATAGTGTCCAGCATTACAGTTGAAGCCACTATGTACAAGAACTGCATATAAAGCATAGATGAGGGGCTCTCCAATAGATTGGGACATATATGCTCGAAGATCCAAATATTCAGGGTATTTTACATCCTAAACAAAGACAAAGAAGATTCAAAAGTTATCCTGAAATACTTCATGGAACAGCCTGAAAAAGACACAGACCAGAACTATATATTTTTCAATTCACTTGAAAATGCCTCTTCTTAGAAACTACATTTAATAATTTAAGCTGCAGGGAGCTATTTTCCACAGAATTAGCTCTTTAAGGGAAAGGTATGTTCTTATGGTCACACAGGAACTCTACCAGTATTAAAAAAGAAAGTAACAGCCACAGCTGCTAAGTTGTTATATCAACTTCTCTTACACTATAGTTATTGCCTGAAATATGAACAACCTTAAAATGAGTATTCATCTTTGGGAAATGCCCATTCCAAGAAGATAAAGCAGCATTCCAGCTGCAAACATACCTTGTTGATCTTTCCACCTGTAAAATTTGCAAATCTTTTCAGTGATATTGTGAGAACATTGGAAGAGCGATGTATCGTGTATCTCTTTGATGCCGGAACCATCTTTTTACACCTTTAAAACAAGCACAGACATATTTTTAACATTTATAGTCTTTTCTCACCCAGAAGTCAAACAAGTTTTCATCTCTCACACATGCTTATGCTATTTGAATGATATTTTGCTTGTATAATGTTAGATCTTTTCTTAAATCCATAAACTGCATTTCAGCTTTGTTAATAGAATGTAGCAGGATATTAGAGACAGCTCAACAGAACAAAGGATTTAGGACATTATCTCTTGATAGCCAAATAAATGCCTGAACATGTATCTTATGTCAAAAAGGTAAGGCCTGAACATGTATCTTATGTCAAAAAGTAAAAAATGTAAAGAAATCACTGGAAGGAAAAAACCATTGTGCAAGAGGCAGACAATATTGGACAATATTGAGTTTTCTTGTACTGAGGTTGCCTGGAAAGACTGAAACCCTCAGCAGTCCTTCAAAACAAAATTGTTAATTTTGTTTGTTTCACTGCACACTCAAAGGAGGTATAGACCAAGTCCTGAAATGCAACCATCAGCACAGACTGAAACATGTCACTTCACATGTCAAGAAAAGTACTGCTGAGTAACAAACAGAGAGGATTTAACAGTCTCTTTGAAAACTGATGTCAAAATACAAGGTACAGAATTCCAAACTGATGGAGAAAGCCAATGAACAAAGTAAGAGAGCCACCCAGAATAAGGAAAAAAAAAAAAAGAAGTGGTTTATAAAATTTTGAAACTTGTATTTAGAGATTAAGGTTTCAGGAAGTAGTAATCCTTATTAGAAACAATAATGGTATATAAAAAAAAAGGAAACTGAAAAGTAATATAGTTTGCCAACAATGGAAATTATACTGTACATACACCAAACCTTTCTTTTCAAATACCTCACAAAAAGACTGAACTTCTGGGTTTGTGTTTGTGACTAAGCTGGTGATGCCTCTCACCCCATATCCCTGTGCTCCAGCTCACCACTTTTCAGACACACCTTTTAACTTCTGGTCATGAGTATTTGAGTGTGCAGCTTCACACTCAGGAAGGTTGACAAGGCCCAGCACAAACAGTGTTAGGAAGAGAAGTCTAATGTAAGCAATACAATTCTTATAATGTATTTCCAAATATTCAAACAGAAATATAAAAATTACTAATTCAGAAACAAGTGTATTATTTCCCAAGCTTTGAATTACTTCAGTATATTAGTTACATAAACAAAACTAAATGAAACAGCAAGCCATGTCTGTCTTATTGCTAAACAAAGTCAAGAGATAACTCATCCTCCAAGTCATGCACTGAATTGATTGTGTGTCTTGTATTAAGGTGTAATTAATAATGATCTTACTTGCTACACTTATAGCTATTTTCACCATCCAGCTGTTCCGGTTTCACAAATTGTTCTAGAGCTCTGGTGACAGATGTAACTGCCTGGATGAGTAGAAAGAAAGTAGAACACTAAGTCACAAGAATTGCAAAATTTCAAGCACTTACAAGCACTTTACAAGAGAACCTTGCTGGTTTATACTTAAGTGGCCAACTGTGAACCAGCAAACACTGTGAAGGAGGAGACAGAAATGGAGTTCTCTGAGTATCTGCCTCATTTCAAAATGATCCCACTGCAAAATAAATAAATTTTGCAGTGCCAGACAGTATCTGTGGTATGCCTTGACATCAATAATGAGAACAATCAAACCCATCAGTCTAACAATAGAAGTACATTGAAGTAGAATAATTGAGAAGTATGATTATATCATTGTTTGTGTAGCCATAATTATTATTTTTCCAGCTTAAATCCAATCCAAACATGGAGAGCATTTCCATGGCTTCCACAGAACAACACAGTCCAATCCACCACCATTCACTACCAAGCTGTTTTGCTTTAACAAGATGGGTTTCTAAGCAAAATGACTTTATTTTACAAAGCTCTACAAGTGCTTAACATCTCAGCCCATGCCCACAAACATTCTTACCTTTATATCCAAAGTCACGTCGAGGAATGGCTCGTACGTATCTGACACTGCTTTGCAGTTCAAGCACTTTACTGGAATCAAAATACAAATGCTTAACATCACTTGAATGTGACTAACTGCATGAATTTAAATTATTAATACACATTACTTTAGCCAAACTACAAACTCCTTTGCTACAGACAGACAAAAAGACACAGATCAGTTCAAAATACAGTAAATTTTTTTTAAAAGTACCTCGAGATCTTAGATATCCTCCAAATATTTGATAAATAAGTGTGGTGGCTTGAGAAGATCTGTCTAATCTGGAAATAAAAATTAGAGTCAGACCTCAAAAGACTGAAAGCACAGAGTTAATTCCTCAAACAATTTTTGGTTTTATGAAAACCAAGGACATAGATTTTAATTCATGATAGTAAATAAAGTAGTAAGAGGGGCTAGGAAATATTTAAATTTAATTATTTTATGCTTACTTGGTGCTTCCATTCAAGCAAGCTTTCTGTAAAGCATCAACAGTGAAGCATAAGAATTCATGTGCATCCTCTTGACTGCCAAAATGGAAATGTTTTCCTATTCCTAATAAATAATTATAATATATTTATTTCTTATAGAATGAAAGAAAACACACATTTCTAAAATATCTCTTCTTTAAAGTATCAAAATTATTTACATGCATCAAATAACTCACTGTAAAATTTAAAATAAACCTATATCAAACTACTTACTTTTAAGGCCATTGATAACAGAAGTAGGTTTGATGGCATTATTAGAGCAACACAGGACCTGGTTGATGTGGCTTTCCATTGTGCACATCATACAGAATCCTTCTACATGACCTAGTGAAAGAAAAAAGCATCCCATTCTAGTCAAACACACATTGCTAAAAGGAAAATCCACCCCAAAATAATAACAATCTAAGTTGTGGGCACAATGTCCACTCTCTGTGGTACATTTTCTTCTCCTAAGGTGTCAATATCCCAACAGTTTTGTGGCATTTTATTATGGAGAATTGTACAGAACAAAACTCCTTAAATCACAGACCAGGTTGCTCAAAACCTGGCTGGACCACTCCCACTGGAAGGTGTCCCTGCCCATGGCAGAGGATTGGAACTAAATAATTTTGAAGGTTCTTTCCAATGATTCCATGATTCTTAACTGAAATAATTTATATATATAGGAATAATACACAATCAAACTTCTACGAATGCATATTAAGATACTAGATTAGAAAGCAGACAGGTGCCTTAGGAAATAACTCCAACTCCACATTTATGGATATAAAAAGAACCCCCCCTAGGCTTAATAAAGTCAAGCATAAAAACAAAATTCAAAGAACACAAATTCCAGGCTTTAAAAAATACAAACTTAATTATTTAGAATAAAATCAGCCTAAATTTTAATACAGTCCCCCCCAATTTCTATTTGAGTTCATAAAAGATTAGCTTGTAGTGCTTTCCAGAATGTTAGGGTTTTTTAATGGGCCAACATTGAACATGTAATTTATCACAGTATAAGTGCACTGCAGTATCTCAGCATCCTAAACTTTATCACCTTTCTACCAGCAGGAAACCCAAATGCCAAATGTTCATCAAATGCCTCACTTTACAATGTACTTCATTATTCACATGAAGCAAGAAATGATCTTTCCTTTAAGTTTTACCATGGCACATAAAATTAAGAAATTCACTTTACATGCCTCCTATAATTCTGAGCTTCCTGTTAGCAAAATCATAGAACCATTTAGGAGGGAAAAGACCTTGAAGATCTCATTAAAAAACTGCTTCTACAGGCAAAATAGGACAACTAAGAATTTTCTTCATAGAACCCCATTTTTCTTTCACCTTTGGAGCTGTCCAACAGATTTACAGTGTTAGAAAATACTCACATGACTTGGTGTGCTCAAGTGAAAGCATGTAATTGGCAAGAGGAGGCGTGTAGGTCAAGCACTGGAGAGTAGAATTAAGGAAACAAGTGTTGCCGAGGTTCTGCAGTCCAACTCCAACACTTTGTGTTTGCTGCCAATCCATACAGATTTTCTCAGGTGGAAAAAGAATTCTTTGTGGCGGAGCAATCCCATCATTAACAACTGCAAGAAATTTGTGTTTCAAAAAGAGTTGTACTGGTTTTGTTTTAAAGAGGGTATTTGAAAAGCAGGATTCTGCAGGAGCAGGCTGAAGAACCAGCTCTAGTCCAAAACACAACAGCACATAATGCACAGCTTTAATAGTGCCACGTGAATTTGCTAGTCAACACTCTCATTTGGACAATAGTTTATTCATCTGTTGTAATTCTTCTAACAAAAGACACAAACTACCACTCTGATTTTAGTACCTGATTTCTTTATCTCTATATCCTTTAATCTCTTAATTAAATTGTTGTTCTTTTCCTTATCGTAATTTAAACCACAAATTTACACTTGTGGTTATGCAGTAAGAAAAATCAGACAGACAAACAAGTAAGCAGCACAAAAAGTAACCCCATAGATATCAGATATCTTCCTGGGCAGTGTTATTATTCAAAGACTTGTGAATAATGGACACCATGAATAGACATGGTAAAATGTACTTTTCTCTCCAGAACAAAAGAGACCTAGGTACATCCTTGCATTATGAAAAGCTCCCCTTATTTGGTTTTACACAAATAAAAAGTACTTTACAAATCAATTGTAAATAGATAAACCCAAGTTCTGCAACACCTCTCCCTGCAGCTGCCTTAGGGGATGCACAAAACTGAAGTCTGTGGCTGAACCCTTGATTTGTTATAGTCCCATTTTATAGCAATGGAACAACTAAAATCTGCTTCTACTTTGGTTTTGTTTTTAACAAAAAGGAGGGAGAACAGAAGACACTTACCGAGATCTCTTTGGGCAAAAGGCTTTGATTTTTGAGATGATCTACAATAAATATGCCCCCCAGGACCTTTGTCCACAGAGACTTTGTTTGGATCTTCTGCAGGAGGTACCCGGCCCAGACTTGCAGTGCGAGACGTCATTTTTTTAGTACGGGGTTTCATAGATTTGTCAGAGCGTCTTGAGGAAGATTTTTTAGACTTTGAAGATTTTGGCTTGTTAACTATGGTCATTGTTCATATCTGTAACAAGGCAAAAGTTCTGTTTGGCATAAGAACGTCCCAATGTATTCCAGAAAGGAAAGACCAAGATAGATCCTGCCCCTTAGCCTCAAAGAGCCTGAAGAACTAAACAGCTAAGAATGATTACAAACAAGGGAACAAAACCCCAAAACACACCAAAAAGAATTCCACCCAATGCACAACTGAACGCACAAAGTAGATTTTTCCAACAAAACTGCATCAATCAAAACTGCATCAATATTTTTTTTTAACTTCTGCTGAGTTCATGACTGATAGCATTTCTTACACTTTCATGGGATTTTAAACCACTATAGCTATGAAGATCTTTTTCTTAAAAGAAGCTGTGAGCAGTGGCACAATCAAGTGCTGGCCTGTTGAGATCCAGGAGGAATTGTCTGGCCAACATCTTCCTGCTCCTGGGAACCACACACCCCTGATGACACAGAGCATGGGAAACAGCTCTGAGAAATCTTGGGAAAGAAGAGCTAGAAAACACTTGCAAATTTATTTCCACCTGGGTTTCTTTTGCCCTTCCAAGAACTATTTGTTTGGATACAATTTTGGCAGCACTCCCTGTGGTATTTTGCACCCATCATTTACAATGCTTACTTATAAATCAAGAAGTTGAATTCAAAAGCATCTTTTTCAGTTCTACTTATGTAAAGTTGTTTCGCCAGGGAAAAACAAAAGAGGAATGTAAACTATAAAAAGAAAATGATGACCACAAAAGGAAGCAAAACAAATCCTCAGCCTTCAAGAATAAAGGCAATAACTGATAATAAGTCCTTTATAAAATGCTGATTACATTTCAAGATGGTACCTCTTTAAACACGTGTAATGTTGTGTGCATAGCAAGCTGCTGAATAATTACATGATCAATTATCAACTCCTATATGTAATTTTTTACTACTATCATGCTCTGTAACGTAGGGCCTGTTCAAGTTTAGAGAAACTATAAACTTAACTGAGGGTTTAAAGTATAACCTGCTTTGTAACACTAAAATAACTGTGAGAACAAAGCATGAAGCAGTTTCAGATTCATGGCACAACTTGATTGCTAATGATGAAACTGCCAGTAGATTAAACAAAGCACAGTAAATCGCAGAACTTCTAGTCCCACAAAAGGCAAATTATGTGTGGAACCTTGAATTAGATTTTCCCCTCTCTAAATTGTCAATTTAAAGTCTACTCTGTACACACTTTCCATTTTACAGATGATAATACACAAAAAAAAGGGAAATTCACTTATGTTACTGGAAAATGAGGACATCCTTGTCCATTTCAAAGACTAAGATGACAGTTCTTGGGCTTAGTGATTTTCAGGTAAGATCCAGACACCTAATTGCAGATACTGGTGACATCTCCTTTTCCTGATGGAAAGGGAAGGGGTTTCAATGACATAATGAACTTATTTGCAGGACAAAAACCAGAATCAAGACTGCAGTGAAAAGCAAACAGAAGAATATTATCACAAAAAACGTTTGGCCTTATACTGACCAATGAGGGAAGCCTCACGTATTTTTAAATTTATTTTTGACAACTGAGTAGCACTGATTTGTGCTGCTAATTTAGTTTTGACAACTGATTACCAGATATCAAACACTAGACACCTGCAAATATCAACGGATGCCAAGAATAACTCAGATCCACTACTTTTTCAAAATCTGTCAATACAATTAATTTGGATATAACATCTCTTCGATGAAGTAGCACAAACATTACACAGATATTTTCCCACTGTTCACTGTAAATACAGGTTCTGCTCCTGTACCACTACTGAACATAAATTCACATTGCCATGTGTACTGAGCTCTCTTCCCCTCTGCTATTCCCATAACAGACTTCTCACAGTATGATACTGACGAGCAAAACAGAACAAACAGTTGCTTTCCTCCCATTTGGAGTGATGCATCAGCGTTGTTTAGATTCTTTTTTCGCAGTCTCATCACAACACGCATCAGTTAATACTCGGATCTAAATATTTATGTTTGGTCTCCGCTTTGCATACAATAAATCACAGCTCAGGGTTTTATACAAGATCCCGTTCACAGAACCGCGTTCAGCCAGGGAGTATGCGTCTTTATCTCGGTACAAACCAAACACTTCCAGCAGCGAGTGTTAAAAAACAAGAGCGGCACACAGCAACACCGAGGCATAAACAAGAAGCAGGAGGAAACTACTCCAGCAGAAGCGCAGGCAGAGGCACCTCGCTGCATCACCGACCGCACCGCACACGCCGCCGGGAGCAAAAACACCCCGGGGCAGCGCAGAACACAAACACACGCCCCGCGCTGGTTTTACTTTCGTTACAAAATTAAAGGCAGCGGAGGCCAAAGTAATTAATGCTTTTACCCTTGCTGAGCAGGCGGCGGGGAGCGCTCGGCGCGGGGCAGCTCCGAGCTCCGTGTCCCGGGGCCGTTGGTTGTGGCGGGACCGAGCCCGGCGCCGCGAGCGCCCGCGAGCGCCTCGCTCCGGGCGGCCCCGAGCCCGAAGCCCGCTCCCAACCGAACCGCCCGCCCCGCCAGCGCCAAGCCCGCAGCACCGACCCGCTTTCCCTCGCTCTGCCCTTCTGAGGGGTCCCGCTTCCCGAAAGCGTTCTGACACCGGCAGTAAAAGGGCGCTGGCAGGGGCAGGGACGGGCACCGCACGCAACATGTCCGCGCTCAGCGCGGCAAGAGCCCAAACACACACAAAACAAAACCCACCCCGACAGGCAGGCGAGGGGGGCCGGGAACCGACCCTGAAGGAACTCCCGCCTCGCCCTTCTTCCTCTAACCCTCACACCGCCCGGCCCCTCAGCCCCGCGGCTCCCCGCCCGTGCCATGCCGCCTCCGCCGCCCGGCCCCGTGCTGACCTGTCCGGGCCCGCGTCCCATCTCGGCCCGGGGGCAAGACCGCGGCGGCGGCGCCCAACGGCGGCTCCGTGCCCATGGCAACGCGGGTGGGGGGGGGCGGCGGAGCGAGCGCGGAGCCCCCCGGCACGGGGCGGAGGGGCCGCGGGAGCCGCCACCGCCGCACCGAGCGGGAACAACGCGGGGCCAGGCGAGGCACAGCGCCGCTCCCCCGGCGGGACGCGGGGCCGGGCCGTCCCGGCCGCCCTCCCGCCGGCGCCGGGACGCGGGGGACCCGCGCCGAGTCCCCACGCCGACAGCAGCAGGAGTAGAAGGAAGGAGATGCGGGCGCCGGCGGGACCCCAGCGCGTAACGGAGAGGGCGGGCGGGCGAGGAAGCACCGCCGAGCCGGGAGGGGGTCGGTCCCGCCGGCCCAGGGGGTGGCGGCGGCAGCGGGGCTGGGTCCCTCCGCCGCGTGCTGGGGACGGCGCCCCGCCCCGCCCGGGGGTCCCACCCCCTCCGGCTGCCCGCCAGCCAGGAGGGCAGCGGCCGAGCGCCCGGCCCGCGCCCCGGCGCGGTGGGCTGGGCTGGGCTGAGCCGGCTGCTCCCGCCGGTCGCTTTCCCTTCCCTTTCCCGGGCCGGCCCCTCCCCCCGGCCCATTGATTTCCAGGCGGGAGGCGCACGCGGTGCCGCTGGGCTGTGCCGTGGCCGCCGCCGGGCCCGGCGCTGCCCCCCAGCCCCATTACCTGGCTCGGCCCCGCTTGACTCGGCGCTGCCGGGTCCCCCTCGCCGCAGCCCCCGCCTCAGCCCGGCCCGCTCCGCCTACTGTTACAGTCCGTCGGGGAACAATGACGTCCCTCCGCCGGCCTCTTGCATCCGGGGCCCGGCGCCGGCCGGGCAGGCGGGCGGGGGGAGGAGAGGAGGCGGCGGCGGCGGCGGGGGGAGCAGCGAGCGCCTCCGGGTCACACGGGGACCGGCACCGCCCCTGTGCCGCGGCCGGGAGCCGCTAGAGGGGGCTCGGCGACCCCCGGTCCGGGCGCGGGGCTCACGCGGGCTGCGGGCGGTGCCGGTCCCCGTGCGGAGGGGAGGGGACGCTCCGCTCCCCGCCGCAGACCTTCGGTACGAGGTCCTGCCCGCCCGTCCTCGCCTCTCGGGCCGAAGGTTCCCCTCTCGGGTTTATCCCTCCAGTTCATGTTTTATCTCTCCGCGCCCAAAGAGCGGCCATAAACGCTGGCCCGGCCCCCGGAGCCGCCCACGGCGGGCCGGGCGGGCCCCGCCGGCCGCAGCGGATGGGATCCCGGTGCCCGGCATGTGAGGGGCGGGAGGGCTGCGGCCATGCGGGCGTCGGTGCCCGCCATCGAGTTCCCTGAGGAGAGCCCGGAGCCGCGCTTTGACGGTAAGCGGAGCCGGCGGCAGCCCTGTGGGTGAGCGAGGAAATCGCCCCTTTCCCCCGGCTGGCGGGAGGGTAGAGCCGTCGCCTTCCTCTTCCGTCCTTCCCCAGCGCTCTGAGGTAGCGGCGGCCGCGGGGGTGATGCAAGAGCGGGCAGGCCCTCAGCTGCGCCCTGCCCTGAGGCCGCCGTGCGAGCTCTCCCTGCCTCGGGCACGGGGCGCCTCGGCCTCCCCGGGGAGCTGCTTTCCGTGCACACTTAAAAAAATTAATTAGGTTCCTAATTAGCCTCTTAAAGCTGCTCGCTCAGTGGCAGTTGTGGTGCTGCCTCTGTGAGCCGGGGTTGTGGTGAAGCTGTGTGGCTGTATATTGTTTTCATGTTTAGGTAAATAGCTGTGTACTGAGACCAAAGTTCATTCGTCTGACTGTCCTCTTCCAGATTCGGATGTGCCGGCGGAGCTGCGAGTTGCAAACGGGTCGCAAAAATTTGTGAAGTTCACTTCGACCATCCAGAACCAGCTGCTGCTTGTGTCACTGCTGGAGCATCTCTGCCACATGTACACGCACAACCCCGTTCACTCCAGGGGTTTGTTCCGAAGTTAGTAAGAGGAGCTCATTCCTGTCTCTCAAACCGCCTTGCTGCAATGTGTACCAGACCTTCTGAGTAGAGTTACAGTGTAATACCAGTACAAAGCTGTAGGTTTCATCCCACTGGAACAAGAATGATTCTGTGAAGAGGATGAATGCCTTGAATCAACTAAACTGGCAATGACAACTTGTCTTATTTTTGAAAACAGTAACAGAATATTGCTGTAGATGTAAGGATCAGGCAGTTCTGCTTCAGCTAGATCATGTGAGTTGCATCATGAGGAGGGCAGCAGGGTAAATTATATTACTGTTATGTGTGATCTAAAATCCTGGTAGAAGAGGAATTTAATAAAATATTTATCAAGAAATAGTTGCAGTAGAGTCTTCACTAAATATTTCAAAATTTTATTTTGTGAAAATCTGAGTAAATACCTTTACATGTTCTTTATTTTGCCATAAAATCTCTTGATATCATTCAGGGAATTTGCATTTTTTAAAATATCTTCTTGGCATATGACTTACTGTGGGTATTTTGTTCATTTAGACATATACTTAGTGCATTTAAGAAAGCCTACCCAAGGGGTTTGTCCTTACTTTACGTGACTATAGAAAATAAAATCTAACGTGTTTTTCATAGCTGAAATTTATGCCATTTATAACATCACAGTTGGACCCATCTCCAGCATTTATGAGGGTTTGTTTGCCACAGTTGTTTTACTCCATATGAAAAAGATGAAGTGGTGGAAGGGAGTGACTTCATTCTCTTATTATGAATATGTGCACAAGTGTGTGGCTTTGGATGGAAATTAGAAATTCTTGACATTACCAATTTTGATTATAAATGCATCCTCATAATTGTGAACCTGCTTTGAGTTTTTCTTTTCACTGATGAAAATAAGTCCAAAAGTAAAATGTGAGTGAGTGGGTGGATGTTTGTTTAACTTACCTGCTGAGGTGAGGAGGAAGAGGAGATGCAGTTGTGACCCTGGAAGGCATGGCAAATAAATTGTATTTTGTGAAGGGATTCCCACTGGGCAGATCTAGTTTGGATTAAATTGCTAAGAGTACAGGAGCAGCATTAGAGGGATTGTTCAGTTTTTCAGTCACGTTATCTGTCAAATAAGATTTCTTGTTTAAAAACTTTGTGGTCTTACTGGATGGCTTTATTTAATATTTTCTGACCTTTCTCTGTTCCTTTGTGCAGTTCTTCGTCAGACTTTCACAAGAACAGGGTTACTCTCCCCTTTTGTCTTTTGTGATGAATTTAGTACTATAAGACTGCAGCACAACAGAGCCATTACTGAACTGATGAAAGCAGCTAATCAACAAGTGCTTAACGGGGTAAGCTTTGTTACATGTCTTTGGCAGCCTCTGCAGTAAGGAGCTTTTGTTTAGGGATTCTTTTAATATTGGATTGGGTCTTTTTAATAATTATACAAAATAACTCCTTAGCTCTTTGGGATGGCATGTGCTGGTTCTGTAGGTGCAAACCAGTTTTTGAAGCCATCAATATTTTGTACCTTATTAAATAGTAATAATAAAGTAAGTTAAAATATTTATAAACAAAGGCAAGGTGTTGTAAGTATTTTTTTCACAGACATCCATTTTTAACTTTAAACTGTTGGTTATGCTAACACTCATATTTATATTAGTGGAGGGTGTAGTTTGTGTGCTTGTATTTCAGGCTGAATCAGAGCTGTCTGCTTATCTCGCTGCTTGAACTAAGCTAGTTAATTTTGTTTTAAGCACATTTTAGAGCCCTCATTTTATCCTGTTTGCCAGCAGAACTCTAAAAGGGCATTAATCTCTCCAGCAGAGAGATGTTAACAGATTACCAGTGGGATAATAATACTTCAATTTGGTGAAGCTCTCAGCAGCATGTGAATGGCTGTCAGTAACCTCATTTTTTTCCAAGGAGGTTGCACTTTCTGTGTTGATGAAGCTGTCCATGCCACTGGCACAGCAGACATGTTATTCTTTTTATATGGCATGTTTTTATGTTGGATTTTTTTGTTTCATAGGAACTTGAAAACGGAGAGTCTATTGCAATTGGGTATGTATTCAAAGCATGTAGAAATACTAAATTAACTCCTTCTCCAAAGTTCTGTGCTCCACTCTGAATTATTAATACTGCATTTCATATTTTGGCTCTGAAACAGAAAAAAAGTTAAAGGTTTCTCCAAATTCTCAAAATGATGTGGTGATAATTTGTTCTTCAGTACAATTCTTGCAGTCAGTGCCGTTGTTTAGGAAAACAAGATTTATCCAGCATCAATGTAAAAGAAACAATCTGAACACTTTTGTTAAAACAGAGTATGGATTTGTAGCACATGTGCATGCTCTTGCAGTCTGCTGGTTTTCAGTGTTCACTGAAACTCAGGCTGGTACAGTATGGTAATGTCAAAGTACTTTCTTCTTTTCATAACATGAATAATATTTTTAGCATGTGTACAGCTGTATCTTACTTGTAAGTTGTAATTTAGTTTAATGCAGCCAAACTTTTCTCAATTAGGGAAAAAGAAGTTCTCTTTGAAGCACAGACTTCACGATACTTGAATGAATTTGAGGAGGTTGCAAGGCTAGGAAGTGGAGGATATGGCAAAGTATACAAGGTATTCTTTACCTCCCATGTAAAACTACTCTTCTTATATCTAGTTTTTTGTTGAAATTTGGAGTTACTGTTTTAACTGTATTGCCAAATGTTTTTTGAATCAAGAGGTGCAAATCTGTGCCTTACAGGAAAGTTGGTGTTTCATTTCAAAAGCTGCTCAGTTGCAATTAGTTTTGTTTGTCAGAAGCAGGATATATCAGATGTTTTACTTTGTGTATTTTGACCCTTTTAAAGTGAATGAAAACTCGTTATTTGACGTGTGAATTATTATGATATATTGACTGTACATAGCATCAGAAGTGATTGGTCTGCACTCCCCAATGCTTTAGTTGTGGCTGCTTTTAAAAAATGAGTCTCAGTATGAGCATAAACTGTCCAAGCCAGTGTTGAATTGTGTTAAGTACTTGTAGTGTATGGCCAGCCCAGGGTTCCCCATGAGGTATGTGCCATGTGGAAATGACAAATGTGTCTCACATATTTATTAAAGACCTGTTAAGCAGTTACCAGGACCTATCAGTGTCCCTGTATGACAGCAGGGGCCTAATCCCAGTTTCATTCCCTGATACAGGTGATATTCCATAGGAATGGGGTGCAGAAAAATAAAATTTTAGAAAATAGTGGGTTCAAAACGATTTAATTAATCTAAGCACATTAACATTTATTTTTTTCCTGTTGCAATTGTTTTCAGGTCAGAAACAAGTTAGATGGTCAGTTCTATGCTATTAAAAAAATTAAAATTAAGAAGGCTACAAGAAGAGATTGCATGAAGGTATTCTTCTTCCTGTGTTTTGCCCCTGTTTTAACTCCTCTGTAGCCTATTCTGTTCTAACTTATTAATGTAGCTAATATAAGTTTTTATGCATTCTGAATTTCTAAGGGTTTGAGCCTATCAGTACGTAATAGAAAAAAGTAAATGTATTGAAGAACTATTTAATTACTTGACCTTGGTAATCTCTGCAATGATGAAAATCAATTTGTTTTAAAGCTTTCAATTTTTTCTGTTGCTGTAACAATTTCATCTGTTCTTTCTCTCTAAGAAACTTACTTTTTTGTTACCTTGTATGTTTACTAAGCACACAGAATAAAGTATAAAGGAGTTGTGGGATTTTTGGTCTTTTTAGGTGCTCCGAGAAGTCAAAGTGCTGGCTGGGCTGCAGCATCCCAATATTGTAGGCTATCACACTGCTTGGATGGAACAAGTTCAAACAGTACATCCAAAAGGAAAGTACAGTTCATTGTGTAATTCTTGCTTGCATCTTACAACCTCTGTATTGTTATTTTCAGGAGTCTATTACTTTTCTGATAAAATGACTATTTTTTTTTCCCTCCTTAAAAGAACTAAAAGAAAGGGAAATTACAGGGGATCATCAAATCCTTCTGTGCATTCAAACCCTTGTTACCAAATAATTTATCTGTTACTTAGTGATTAATTTGGAACTGTGGAAATATCAGCTTTACTTTTGGTAATATATGAGGAGGATTTAAAGTTGTGTGAAGGTCAGTGAAATGCAGTGAAAACCTTTTAATGCAAGAAGTGGTGAGTTGATGAGGAGAAGAATGAATGCTGAGGAATGACCTGCCCCAGATATTGGGGGGAAAGTGATGAATAGAGCAAAAGCCCCACAGAGTTGCAACTATGTTTTGAAGTCTCAGAAATGTAGCAACACTAGAATAAACATCCCAGTATGCTTCTCTTCAGATCTGGAAAAGATCTAGGAAAAACTGAAAGAACCTGGAAATACATACTTTTAATGATAACCCCCTCAACATCAAAAATTCTTTATTTTGCTTTCCAAGTTAGACTTTTTAAATTTGATTAATTGTATTTCATAGTCTTGCACTGACAAAGCAATTGATTTTTTTGTGTATCAGCTACTGTCTGTAACTGTTGAGAATTTATCTACTTCTGTGTTCATTTTACACCTTTTCAGTTTTTCTCTTCAGGTTCTTTGTTCTCAGCTCTTTGCACACTCTGTCCTTTGGTCCCTTTGTAACCCTAATCCATTGGTCCCTTTCTAGTCCTTTCCTGGAATGCCTTTAGCAATTAAATCTTTTGATCCTCTCTTAGTGGGAGGCTTGGTTATGCTCTGTATAACTTTATTGCTTTCCAAGTCACTGACTTGTTGCCCAGCCAGCCATAAGCACTAAAGAAAATGCATAAGTGCATAGGAAGTTGACAGTAGAGTAAAATAGGCAAAACTTTTAAACCAGTGATCCAGAGAATCTCAAGGGAAGCAATTGTTTAATGCTGGGAGTCCTTCATAAGTATTTAATGGTGGTAATGGAAGAACATAATGAAATCTATAGGTAGCTTCTGTGGTACTTAATGGTTTCCCTTGTCTTACAAGAGTGACATTTTATATTTGCTTCTGTGTGCTGAAACAGCTTTTTCATATAAAAATGCAATTTTAATGACAATTATTTCCAAGATATCAAGTGTCTTCAAAACAGCAGCAGTGTGATGTGAAGGGTGATGCCTTGTGGAGCTGCTTCTTTAACTGTGTGTTATTCTATACTTGTAAATCCTCACTTTGAACAGGCTGACTTCTGAAAGATGAAGTCTAAGTAGATATCTATGGAAGCCCAGCACAGCCCATTTATTGACACTGTACAACGTATATTTTCTTTTCACTTAAAGATAAATGAAATACACATTAGGGTAGCTTCTTAGTAGACTTAACAAGCCCCTTTTGCAGCAGCAGAAGTAGAGGTAATCTAGAGCTATCCACAGGTAACAAAGATAAATTAAGGGAGGTGCTCCAGCTTAAATGGTAATTTTTAGTAAATATGTGGATACAGTCTTTGTTTTATGAAATACCATATTTATCTTTGCATCCAACAGGTAAAACAATGATGGAGTTGCAGCCACTAGTTTTGGAACAAAAGAATAGCAAGTGAGTATTACTAATCTCAGTGGTAACATATTCAACTTCAGCTGTGTATCTGAGACATTGCTGTGTGAGACAGCTCTCCAAAATACCTGCTGGTAGAAAGTATTAAATCAGCTGGAGCCTGCACTGACAGTATGTAATCCTGGAGTTTTATGTGAGGAAGCAGCTGAACTCTTACTTGGGAGTGCTGTTTGCAATTTGGGAAAAAAAATCAGTATGGTTTATTACAAATAGATGGTATGAAACTGTGTACTTACTTGGATTTCTCTACCTTTGTTATTTTCAGTGATCACTGTCACATCCAGAGTGTGGAAAGTGGTAGTTCAATTATCTTTGCTGACCTTACCTCACAAGAAAAGAAGTCCTGTGACAGTACCAGTCTTAAAAATGTGCATAGAGAATCAGTGCAGAATATGGATGTAAGGAGTGACTTTACAAACAGCAATAGCAAAGAGTGTGTGAAACCAAATAAAGGTGAATTATCCACAGAACTACAAAGAGGCTTTGTAAATAATGGTAACAGTTTATCAACTGATGTGGACAATCATTCAATACGGGGACCTCATTCCAGTCTGGATCAAGATGCTAGCACTGAAAGCAAGTCCTGCTCTGAAAGCAAGTCCTGCTCTGAAGGATGCTCCAAAAATGAGGTAGCACTCTGTGGAGAGTTCGAGGTAAATACAGTTCTCTTTAAGTATCCTTATCTGCTGTGTAATTTTAGAATGTTTTTAAAGTAGTTCAATAAACAGCGAAAATGAATCATTTGTAACAATAAATTTAGAGGAATGGAATGACTGCAAGTAGAGCCAAGAGTTCAGACAAATTTTCTTATGTGGGTAACATCACTACCAGGAAGCTACCAGAGGAGCTGGCAAAGCTCAGCATCTGTGAGGAACTTTCCATGTGCTAGGCCTCTTGAGTCCTTTCAAAGTACCTGCATGAATAAAAAGTGCTACTGCTGCATTAAACGGCCTCCTCCAAATTGAAAATTTTTAGTTTTCACTAATGAAAGGTAAAACAGCTATTAATGATGAAAGTGTTTTGGTATGTCATGTGGTGCCCATGCAGTGTAGGAGTACCTGGGAAGGAGATAAAAGCAGATTTAGGTAGGGAATCACTTGTGCTTCTAAAACCTTCTTGTCATTTATACCATACCACTGAAATGTTTTGTATAACACAGCCAGCTCTGGAAGGCTTCAAGCTTTTGCTATCATTTGGAGTTCCCCCTTGCAAGAAACCCAGTTTTAAAGGTGTCTGCTTGAGTTGTCCAGGTTATCAGATGAACTGGTCCGTTACCAGAAACTGAGCTACATATTTATGGTAATAAATCAAACAGTTGGACTCAAAGGCCTTTTCCAACCTAAACAATTATGTGATTCCATAAAATCCTGTATCAATAAGTTGATGTTTTTTTACTGCTATTTTGTATTGATTAAGCTGGAATAAACCTCTGTTTAGTATTTCTAGAAGGTTTCAGACTCTAATTTGAATATCAAAGATACATCTGGCAGTTTTGTTAGCATTTATCATATAACAATTGTTAAAATTTGAGGAAGAAGCAAAAAACTTCCCAAAACTAGATAGCATTGTTGCATCTGTTTTTTGAGTGCAGTAGATTACTAATACTATACTTGATGTCCTTTTGCTACTTGTTTTTGTTTAATAAACTTTGGGTTTATTTGCTTTAAAGACAAAAACTAATAATAATTATAACTAATAATAAATACTGTTCATGTTACAATGGCAAAATTATTTTTCTGTTAGGTGGAGTATCACTTGATGCTTCATATACAAATGCAGTTGTGTGAAATATCCTTGTGGGACTGGATTGCTGACCGTAATAAAAGATGTAACAAGAGATCAGAGGACACTTCTAGTAAGATTCATCACTGTCTTATTCATTGTAAAGCAAATAATTATTTTTTTTTTGTAATTTGAAGTACAGTTATCTAATTTTATTTTACTTCAGCAGCTTATAATACAGATCTTTATTAAATTCTTTATTCACTTAATCGAATAGCAGCTTGTATTGAATTTGTGCATGATAGATGCTGGTAAAAGAATTGAAATTCCTGAGTTTTAGACAGCTCTTCAAAAAAGAATGAGTGAATGCCTGAGGCGTAGTTGTTACCAGGGGAGATCAGTCTGGGCAATACTCCTTATTTGGAACAGAGTTTTTTATTGACAGAATCTGCTGCTTCTCAGAAAGCTGGTTAAAGGCTAATTTATCTGCTGCAGAAAATACAATTATATCATTTGATCCAGACAGGTTAATTTGTAATAGGTTAAAGAATGTAACATTGACTTTTTCTGAGTGACCAGGGGGTTCTCATGCCCTCCTACCAAGCAGTCATCAGTAACTGTTGACATTTGGAAGAACAAATCCAATGCTCTTAAAGCAGTAGAGATTTGTTCCATTCTCTGGGGTGGTTGTATAAAAGCAGCCTGTGCACATCAGGTTGTAAAACAAAATGTGTTTTGTTTTGGTTTTGTCTTGGTTTTAATCACTATTAAGGTAAATCTGTTGTTTTCATTCATGGAGACAGGTTTACCAGCAAACTGTCAGCTGACTTCCACTGATCTCTCCTGTAAAATGTATATTTTAGCTTTCATGAGCTAAATAATGATGTTCCTGGTCAGGAAATGACAGAACTATGATGGCATTTGAGCTTGCAAAATGCTGTTTTCACACCTTTTCATGGAAAAGGTGAATATTATCATAGATTAGACATGAAGAGATAATCCAAATGTGAGTAAATGGTGAGTGTTCAAAAAGATATGTTAAATATGGTTCATTAGAGCAGGGAGACAATGTAGTTTAATAAAATAGTAATGTGGCAAATGGTCGAAATAAGGAGGTGCTAAGTTTATTTAGGACAGCTACAGCCAGAGGAGATTGAGGAATTTCAGAGGGTAGCACAGCAGCAGAAGATTAGGAATAAAACACGAAGAGTGCAAAGCAATACAGACAGCATGTCACTACATAAATGATGATGATTTTGTTTGGAACTGTATTTTTCATGCTAGGTCAGGACTTACATGAAAGTAAAGAGTTTGTTAAATTCATAACCAAATAACTGTCTGATGGGGTTTGGAAGAATCTTTTCAGAAGGATATATGTTCCTGTTCCCTGAACTTTCCACATTTTTTGGAATTTTGATGTTAGTGACTTTTGGCTGATTCAGAAATATCTTGAGAGAAGCATGGCAAAATCCATATTTAAAATATGCTCATTCTGTTAAAAATTTATTCCACAGCATAAATAAACATAATTCAACAAGACTTACCACCATAATCTTACGTAACTCAGTAAAACTAGGTGGAATAATTTGTTTTAAGGTCCATACCACCTGGTGGATGTTCGCTGGACAATGAAGATTTTCCAGGAGGTAGTAGAAGGAGTTTGCTATATCCACAGCATGGGAGTGATGCATCGAGACATTAAAGTAAGTTCATCAAATTATTACTTGAGGTTGAAGAAAACAAAGACAATTTACATTATGGGAGAATAAAAGCCACTTCATAGTTGCATTAGAGATGACCTGGGCTCTTAAGAATTTAGTTGTTACATATGAGAAAATACATATTCTTCTCTATAGCAGTGCCATGCTTTCTTTACTATCAGGGTAGTAAATAGCATCCACTGACTTACAAGTGGATTTTCAGTTCTGGAGGTGTTTTCTCCTTTGAAGCCATTTTCCTGTCAGAAACAGGCATGGTCAGATTGCTTTTCTTTTGTCTGTCTTTAACCAGGGTAGGACCTTAATTACCTAAAAAAAAAATATTTTAGGTAATTATGAAAATAAGCAAAGCCCCTTGACTACACCTCCCTTTGTTAACTGCATACAGTTAGCTTTTGAAAATATGTTCCAGTTGCTTGCTTACTGATAGACCTGAATAGTAAGGAGGTGAATGTGTGTTTTCCTACTTTGCTTCCTACTGAGGTTTTCTGCATCTGATACAGCAGCTGTATGAAGAAATCATGATTGTTAAAACTTCACATGTGGAAGCTTTGAACTACTTGAAATCACTCAGTCTTCACTCTGGATTAATTTTCATTTTTCTGTCAACTGTTCCAGGCTGAAAACTTTCATTTTGCCTTCCCATTTAGCATCATCATGGCCTTATTGTCCAGAGTCTGGTAGTTATATAAAGAATTCCACAATTCCATACACTTACTGCAGACCTGGTTTTGAGCCAGTTCTCATGGGTTTCACCATATATTCTTCTAATGGTGATTTTGCAGATACCTAGCAGAGAATGTAATTTCTGAGATAATAATCTAAGAAAGTCTTCCAGTGTGTAAATGTCTGAGAACAGAAATCCAGTGGGTGGGTGTTCTGGATATGTTTTTACTTCAGTGGATATGAGAAGCCTAGCAACTTGTTCAACAGTGCTGCATCTTTTAAGTTTGATCTGCATTGAATAAAGGAAAAGAATGGAGATTGCCCATCTCTTGTTAAACTATTCACATCTCCTTTATACACTAATAAAAGACCCAACTATTTCCCTTGTGCCACCTGAGCAAGTTGGGGGATTTTTCTAGGTACATAATGCTTGCATTTCTCCTCCTTAGTGGTCCTAAAACCAAAATTTATGGATGAAAACTCTTTCAGTTTTCTGAGTCAGAGCTCTCAAGTCTGTCATCATTGGGCTTTTTTCTCACAGCAGCTTTCCATAACCATGTAGCATATTGCAGCTGCTTATCATACAGAAAAGTGTATTTTGGTTTGTATTATGTCTAGCCCAATGATATTTAGTCATCCTTCCTGCTCCATCAGTTGGTCAAATTTACTGTCCACTCTTGCCTGTTCCTGTTCTGCAAATTTCCCAGTTTCTGTTGCGGAAAAAAAAGTACTTAATGTTTTCACTAAATCTTGGGGTTTTTTGTTTTGCTTTTCTTCCTTTTTTTCTAGATCCTTGTTCTAGGTATGTGGTCTTTTGGCCCAAATGGTGTTACTAACACATGATTTGGTATCAGCAATGACTGTTTTTTCTCTCCCACTACTAAAAAATGTTGAATAATCATACCTGTGAAACACTGGATTTTACAGACTTTGAAACCACTGAAATTCTGTAATTCTCTATATAATCATATTTCTAAATTGTATTCTGTCTTCATTTGCAGCCTAGAAATATCTTTCTACATGGATCAGATCATCAGGTAAAAATAGGTGACTTTGGATTAGCCTGCAAAGACCTTCTTTGGGATGATGCAGGCTGCAGACAGAACGGATCCGTTCTGCAGACGGAACGGATAAATGGTAAGAGAAGAAAGTGTAATGGCTTTCAGTGTTTAAGTTTCTATGGTATTAAACTCATTAAACTGTTGCTTGCAAGGGTAACAACACTTGCTATGTCTCAATTGCCTTTCAAAGGACTGACACATACTTCAGGAGTGGGAACCTGCCTCTATGCCTCACCAGAACAACTGCAGGGATCTCACTATGATTTCAAGGTAGAGAACTCTGTTTTGTTTCTTCTTTTCTCTATTAACATGCTAGATAATAGAAATAAATCAAGCCTTTCAATTGGCAATACATAAATGTTCCTCCTACTGCCACTCCTAGCGTTTTTGTTGAAACATGGATTTCAACTTTGCCTTCTCATTTGCTGCTAAAGCAAAAACTTTTACTGTGTTGAGAATGTGTATCGATTTGAATTTGCGTTTAGTAGTGTCATGATGCTCTTCAAATCTCCACTGTTGTGAAACTTTTTCATATAATGATTTTATAAGAAAAAGAAACCCACTAAGTTAAAACAGCAGTTACCCCAGAACTTTCTCTTCACTTCATTAACAGTCAGACATGTACAGCATGGGTGTTATCCTGCTAGAACTCTTCCAACCATTTGGAACAGAAATGGAAAGAACAGAAGTTCTTACACATTTAAGGACTGGCCAAATTCCTCACACTTTCTACAAGAAATGGCCTACTCAGGCCAAGTATGTGAAACTCCTCACCAGTCCAAGAGCTACGGAACGCCCAACAGCGGCTCAGCTTCGGGACAGTGAACTCTTCCACACCACAGACCAGGTAACTTGTGCCAGCAACCCCAACCCTTACAGCCTAAAGAAACACAAAGAAAATGCCCTTTGTATCCCTGGCTGCATTACATGTGTTTGGCTTTGAACTTAATCACACGTTCTTCTTTAAACTCTTTTTCTGATTACAGTATTTAGGCCACTGTATTATTTCTGGTGTCTTTGCAATGAGATAGCTGGTCATTAACTTTAGGCAACTTCCTGAAGACTGTACAGTTGAGAGGCATTTTTATAGGTCAGAAAAGCTTTCCAAGCTTTTCATCACATCTGCAGATTCTTCTAATCATTTTTCCTTTCCATGCCCCACTGCTTTGTGGATTTAAGTAATAGTAACAAGAATGTAGAGTAGCTGAGTGCTGCTGCTGCACTGTGTTTGTAGTGGATTGCAGACACAATTCGAGTAGGTCAATAAGGCTTTGTATCCTTGCTTAGCTATAAATGAAGTAAATTGACTCTCATTTTCAGGTTATTTCTAACCTCCAACAGAAGGTGAGACAACAAGAAGAAGAAATACAGAAACTGAGGGAGACAATAAGACAGCTTTCTGAAGAGCAAGATGAACAAACAAGACAAGGCTCTCCTGTTTAAGTACAGGAAGAACTACCCTTGAGTGTGTGTTAAATTATATAAAATGTTTCTTTTTTACATAAAATACTTCAATGCATTTTTATTTGGCTGTCTGTTCTTAAAAGGTATTTATCCTTTTGCCTTGACCAAAGGCTCCTGAGAAAAGAATCATGTTGCAGTGGAAAAACCAAGAGCACAACTTGTATTTACATAGGATTAATTTACATACTGTAGCCATTGTACAAACGTGTTACGCAAGAGTTACAAAAAAGGAAGGTCACACCCAAAAGGCAGCTGTAATGCTTTTATTATTTTAGGATTCTGTCCAACTGTAATACCTAAAATACATCTCAGAAAGGACTCAAACATTACAGCAGACAGGAGGTGGAGTAAGATTAAAACAACATCACTGTGAAGGGTACAGGCTCACTTGAGTAGCTTCATCACAGAGCTGAAAGGGGCCAGATTCTCACAGGACTTCATCCACTTCTGCACGTTGGCCGGGGCGGCGTTGGCAGAGCCCGCCTGCTGCAGCGCGCTCCAGGCCACCACGTCGGCCAGCGTCAGTTCACTGCCCACCAGCCACGAGCTCCTGCCCAGGGCAGCGTTCATGGAGCGCAGCACTGCTCCTCTCTCCTTGCTGCTGCCTTCTTTCAGCTGGAAGATGGCTGTGTCCACCCAGCTGTCGATCAGAGTTGAGGTAACTGCATTGTACTTCTGCCCAAACAGGGAAAAGAGAAAGCGAGCGATGTTCCCCTCTCCTTCTATGGGGCACATGGTTTGAATGCTAAACTTCATCTGGGGTTTGGGAACTGAAATTAACAGAAGGAAAAAAAGAAAGTGAATCCAACATAGTAAAGAAATTAACTAGAATGGTAATTTCATGATGAACATTTGTGATGCTAGCACCACCGTTAATATCATTAACCTGATGAACAGTTCTCAGTCTTGTGGCATAAAGAGATCACTTTTTGAAAAATTCAGCCAAATCTCCCCCATAATTTCTCTTCTAGCTACCTTATTTGTAGAAACTAAAAAACATTTTAAAAAGCCCCCAAAACCTGAGGGTACAAACAACCCTGTCAATGCCACATGTATTTTAACAGCAGTAAATATGAACAAGAATCTCCTTCTTCTGGCCCAGCACGATTCACAGCTATGAAAAGAGAACAAAAATGTTTCCTGCTTCTTCATATCCACCATATGTCAGCAGAAGGGCACCAAGGCATCTGTGTGCAAGGGTTTATAGCACAAGTTTCATTTTCTCACCTATTGTAAAATACTGATCTACAAATTTCCTTCTTACCATCTTTCCAAATCAGAGTAAAGCCCAGCTGATACTCATGACGTGCCTGCTTCTTAGTCTGCTCTCCAAAGCATTTCAAGAGGTTTTCTGGCACACTTTTCACTGATGAATGTGTGTGAACAGCTGATAATATTTTGTACCGTTCACAAAGCAGACTGTGTATCACTAACAGTGACAGTGGAGGTAGAGAAGGATTTGCATTGATGACAACATCTTTCAGAGCTCCATAATCCTGAATGGAAAGTAAAACATTCAGCAGGTAAGACACATTCCAGACCATACTCATAACCATTGCTTTCATTTGACACCAAAATGTACATAAGTCATGCACGTGTATATCTGAAATTCTAATGATATTCAAGTAAATAAATTCAAGCTTGGACATTTAAAACTTGTGTAAACATCTTCCTTCCTTGACATGTAATTCAAGGATATTACAGGTAAATCCTACTCCAAGATGAAGCCAATGTTAAAATTTCCAGTTTAGTAACAAACAAAAAAGCAACTGTTGAAATTTCAAAATTATATCCAAATGAGCACATATAGAACTAGTATTTATAAGTGTTTGTATCTATAATCTGGATGGCCAAAATTAAATGGTAACTGTAGGTTGTATATTGAGTTCTGAGTGTCCCAGGTTTTAATGCCCTACTTCCAGGGTATTAAAATGGGAAAAAGTACCTACCAATGTCACTGCTCAACTAAACTCACCTTTCCAAGCATCAGATCTAAATCTGCTCCATTTGTTGTCAAAGGAGAAAATTCATCAGTTTGAATGATATTTGTTACATCAAAGTCAGCATCTGGGGTGTGTATCATCTTGGAGAGCCCATCCACAGCACTCTTCAGTTCATACAAGCGCTTCAGAATCTCTTCCTGGCGGGATTCAAGTGCTTGAAGAGATGGGTCCACCTCTTCCTACAGGAGAGGAACAAAAAAGGCCATGTAAACATTCACTGCTCAATGCCAAAATAGTGCACAGCTCACTTAAGGTTAAGTTTTGAAAGACTAAACACCTCCAAATAGCCAGACCATTGTGAATATCATGGGCTTATGTCTATCAGAAGTCTCTTATCTGTACAAGTGTGATGAGATATTTAATAATTTCCTTAAACCTTCCTGCTTAATAGATTCTTCTAAACCATTAGTTACAGCAAACTCTGTAACACAGTCAAAATCAGACAAAGAGTTGGCAGTGAAGTGCTGAACGATGACTGAAAAATCAAAGACAGCTTGTCAGGTTCTTTTCAGCCCAGAAGAGCAAAGGTAGTAAGTTTGTGGTACAGCAGCCAAACAAGGAAACTTTTTGACAAGTCAGGTAGTTCATGAAAGTAAAATGCCTTGCAGCTTTAGATGTGGATTCAGACTTTGTTTCAAAGAATATAAATTATAGTGGGAAAAAAAGACCATGGGCTTTATTCCATGTTAATACCAACCCAGCTTTTTATCTGTATTACCTCACAAGCATCTCATCTTACAATCTCTTTTAAAAGAAAATGAAAAATATATTCCTGTGGCAAGTTTTAAGTCTACAAGCTTAAAGTAACGTTAAAGAAAATTTTTCAAATAGCCTATTTCTAAGCATCCTGAATGAGGATTAAACAAACCCAAACTATCATGGATGAAGAGAAACAAGGTATCCAAGTAAAATCTTTATATCCACTTAACATAATATTGTCAAAGACAAGGGAAGACGTCTTAAGTGACCATTAGCTAGTGCACAATTCCATACTTTGCAATGGGAAGGTACTTCTGTTAAGTTCTGCCCTAAAGTTAATCCTTCTCAGTGTCTCCTCCATCGAGCACAGCAAATGCGTGGTGGCATCAAGTTTCTGTTAAGTTCTGCCCCAAAGTTCTCAGTGTCTCCTCCATCGAGCACAGCAAATCCGTGGTGGCATCAAGCTAAAATCGGCCACAAGCGGCTTGTGAGAATTCCATGCACTCCTGGCACTGGAGAGAGGCTGCTCAACTAGGCCCATGTAACACGGTATTCGGCATTTTTGTCTTATTTAAGGCAAAAGAAACGGAGACGAGAAATAGAGGGTGTGTATCTGGCTGAAAGGCGAGCCGAGCCAGCAGAGCGATGATGCAGCAGGACGGAACGCGGCCTGCTGGGCACTCTGCAGGGCTGGCAGGGAGCTCAGCACGGCCATTCAGACAGAAAAACCGCGACAGCGACACACGCGAGAGCCCAGAAAAGTTAAAATGAGAACTACTGAAGGCTTTAAAAACATTACAGAGAAATTCCTGAAAACGCTGGTTTTATTTAACCCTCGGACGCGCCGCTTATGGCGAGGCGGAGCCAGGGCCCCTCCTGCGGGCTGAGGCGGTGGGACTCGGCCCCGTGAGCTCTTCGGAGGCTGCTCCCGGTCCCTAACAGGGGCTGGGGCTCTCACCGGAGGGAACACCGGCCCAGGGGCCGCATGCCTGACCTCGCCAAGGCGAGCACCGAGCAGGTCCTTCCGCCCACCCCTCGCTCCTACCTGCGGCGGCGCGGCGGTGCCGGGGGCGCGGTGCAGGTTGGGCAGGGGGTACATGCAGGTGGGCAGGTGCTCCGCCAGCACCCCGGCGCTGTGCAGCGGCCGCACCTTGTACATCGCGGGCATGGCGGCTCCCGCTCCGCCGCCGCCGGCCCGCCCACCCCTCCGCGCCCATTGGCGGAGCGGTGCGTGACTGACACGCGTGACACCCAATGGGCTACGGGTTCGTCCGTCCGCACTCCTGCCATTGGCCGGCGTTGAGCCGCGGAGTGCGTCCCCACAGGGCGGTGGGCAGGGTTGCGCCGCCGGGCCGGGGAGCGCAGGCCGTGCGGGGCGGGCGCGCTCCGGCCGCTCCCGGGGCTGGGCAGGAGCCTGAGGAGAGCGCGGCGCGTCCCGTCCCGCCCCGCCGCGGCCCCGATGGAGGCGGCTGCGCCCTGGTGAGTGTGTGCACCGCCCCAGGCCGCCGCCTTCGCACCCCCTGCCCAGGCCGCTTCGCTCCCCTCACGGGAGCCGCGCTCCTCGCACGGGCCGTGCCCCCGCTGCCGGCGCGGTTCCGGCTTCCCCTGGTTGCTGCCTCCCGTCCCGGCTCGCCTGGGGAGGCCTGAGCGGGGTTTGCTGCCCGCTCTCACCGCCGCGCTTTGCTGTCGCTCTCTCCCCAGCCCGCAGCCCGCCGGGGCCATCCGGCCCATCGAGCGCCGCTCTGTCCATCGCATCTGCTCGGGCCAGGTCGTGCTGAACCTCGGCACTGCCGTCAAAGAGCTGCTGGAGAACAGCCTGGATGCCGGAGCTACCAGCATCGGTAACTCTCCCTCGAATTCAATAACTTTTCATAGGCTTCTAAAGCACGTCTTTTTCCTCAAAACCAAGCGCATGTTAACAAATCTGGGCAAATACTTTCTGCTGGGGCCAGGCATCTTTGCAGTGATTTTACACCTCAGGTTGCTAAAACATTCTGATTCCCAGACTCCAGCTGCATTCCTAGCAGCATGTGAGATTGTGTTATTTAATTTCTAGTGGCCCCTTTGGCAGCAGTGGTGATCAGGCTGTGCCAGCCGGTGGCCTTTGGCTAGCACAGGGTAAAGGCAGGGCTGGTTTCCAGAGCTTCCAGGATGGTGGCTGGGATAACTGGGAAAACTTCTGTACAGACACAAGTTCAGTGAAGCTGAATTACCTGAACTACAGACTGGTTTGCATTAGATTGAACTAACTTTTGACAGCTGTCAAGGGTTAGGGTGTTTTTTTTTTTCTGTTATTATTCAATTTTGACATGGAAAGCTGTTATCTTTGAAAATTTGACTTCAAGTGCAAAATTGAT